TTCCATTAAGTGATGAGAGATTCACGCACTGTATTGTCGCACTATATCCCAGTGATAGGTCTGTGAAGTTACCATTATTTTGAATAAAAGGAACAAGATCTACAAAACAATAAACTAATGGTAGAGTTATTGCATGAATATGCACCTTTTACACACAAGGGTTTTAAATCAGACACTATTATATTAGATCCATTAATTGATGCATTACAAGTATATGCTCCAGCATCAGTTGGTGAAACCTGTGTTAATGTCACGATACTATGAAATGTTGATAATGAACCATTAATACTGATATAATTTGTTATTATATGATCATTTTTAAACCATTTCACTACGAGTGAAGAAACATCAGGACCAATAGCATTAGTGAGACTAATAGTACACACTATTGATACATTGTCACCAATAACATACGATGATAATGATTGGACAGTAACAGATGAGACACTGGTATCTGTAATAAACATTAATAACTAATGTACTATGATCAACTAACCTAATACACTAATAGTAATAGACTTGGTCAGATTGATAGCCAGTAAATCTGATGATACTACACAAGTGAATGTGTTGTTATTATGAGAGAGCATCACGGGATCAATGATCAGTTCATTGCTATTGAATGATGATGAATGCCATTTTATTACACTGTTAGAGATGGAGGGCATTGTAGTACAGATAATACTGACACTACTACCAACAGTGAGGTCAGTGTATTGACCAGTAACAATGATATCAGGTACTAAAAGGAGTAGTTGAACTTAAATTGAGTATAATTTTATTTTACTTTGAACTATTAGAGAAATGCTTCCTGAACCACAAGTATAGTTTCCAGTATCAGTGCTCCTCACTTCTTGTATAGTCAGTGTACCACTAGTAGTATTGATATTGTAATGAGTATCATCATTACTGATATCAGTTCCATTCAGCCCCCATTGTGCTGTATCATTTAATGTGCAATGTAAGATTACACAATCACCAGGAAACACTGTTGTCAGATTATTGTAGCTTTGTTTCAGAGGCATAGTTGTATTAAAGCAAACTATGAGATGATATAATATTTATCATAGAAATGCTACAAAACAAATTCATCATACCTTCCGCACAATTTGAAAGTGTAGCTGCAATTAATACAATTATCAACAAAGAAGAGAAACGATACTCCATCTTGACTAAAAGTTGGCAATAGTACAGCAGGCTATGCCAAGCCACACACCACTATACTGTAGTAATTCTGATTGGTCATCATTTACTCATATAGTGGGTTTGTGGCAATGTGAAGTTTTAGTTACAAGTAGACTAATGTGAATTAAGCAGTACTAACATAACTTTATACCAGTATGCACAACTAGAATAGTTTAGATAGTAATTATTCTACCTTGGGTCCTTTTAAAACTTAAAATTAATCACAAAAGAATTCTAACAATTAATTATTCTTTATATTAGTCTAGTAACTTTGATTCCATATATGGAGCTTCATTTAAAATTTTTGTTTTGACTAACAAGCAGCAAACATAACAACATTAACAGACTAGTCTAGTATTAATAGTAAGTAGCTATTTTAGTTAATGCATGTTTATTATTTTTATGCTTATTTAGCTTCATCGCATAGCTTTGTCAACAGTCTCTTTAGTAATTGCAGTGACAGGAACTTCATAATCAGCAGTAGAAACAGGATCAGTTGATTCAATTTTAACGTTATCATTAACTGCTTGTGGTTTCACTTCCTTCAATGTTATATCAGGATCATCATATACAGCAGTTTTTGATCTAGTATCACTGACGTAGTTAAATTTTTTCCTATATCAACAAAGTAATATAAAATTATTCAAACTCACACAACTTGGCAACACTAACTTCATAATGACTATCACTATTCCAACAGTTACAACAGCAAACAAGAATGTGAACAAAATCACTGCAACAACAATAAT